GAAGTTTTTGTTTTTTTTAACTCTTTAGTTTCTCACATCCGTTGTAATAATATTTGACTGTAAATAATTTTAATATTTGTTTTTATTCAATTTTTATATATTTTTTTTTTACAGGACATGTTTATGGTTAGTGAAAAAGTTCCAGCTTTAAAAAATTCAGAATTGGCTGTTGCTTAGGATATGTGCATATATTTATACACTTTTTGGGTTTTCACACAACAAGATTGCATCTCTACAGTGAATTCGTTTTCGATCTTTCAACAACCTCATTGCTCCTGTGAATGAAAGCAACAACATTTCAGTGGATAGGCTAGAATGAATGTTGACTGTAAAGTGTTTACTCCTTACAATTGGTCAAATGCAGGCCACAAGTTTCACTTCAAGAATTTCAGATTGACACTTGTGGTGTCCGAATATTAACTTGAAGTGCATGTTTGTAAGATTGAAAAACGTAGAAAATATTATTGGATAAAAATATACCGGTATTTGATATTGTGTAAATATAAATCTGTTCAAAGTATCCAATTATGCTTTGTTTTTGTTTTTTTTATATATTTAGTACCGGGTAGGGTGACTCAGAATAGGCTGCAAAAATCACTAAAAAAAACTTAGTTTAAATGTGTTGTTTTTTTCTTTTTAATTTAGCTTCAATTTGCTAAAAGGGGTATTTGAAAAAAAAAATAAAGCAAATATTCCATCATCATCTTTCCATTGCATTCCTGGTGGAACATAGCACCTCAGTAAAAACTCGCCACTCTCTCTTGCTAGTTCTTTAATGGCTTCTCAGCTCTGTCCGCTCAGCTTCATCAATTATTCAATGCTTCACTAAAAGAAAAGTATGTATAGTTTCTTTTGAGTGAAATGAAAAAAAGAACTGCTTCTGGGGCATGGTCCACCAGTCAGCTTCCTTCAGGCATCTCAGTTCTGGGTGAGTCTCTCCAACTGTCCCTACATCTTGCACTTCTGCTTGGTATCTGCCTCCAAATTGCTGCACCATGAGACTTATACCAGTAAGGAAAATAACTTGTGGATATTGTTATTATCAATTTTAACTTTTTATTACAAAAATTTTAAAGCACCAATTCATCATTGAGATTTTTGCATTTCAGTTAAGTTTCATTTATTTTTGTGTACATTACATACCGGTACACAAATACAATTTGCATAAAGCTCATGCAAGTCAGTTTTAATATAATCGGGAAAATGTCAATGTGAGCAAGTTTTTACTGATCAAGTTTACTTTAATGCTCAGGTGTAGGAAGTTATTTGTATTTGAAAAATGAAAGAAAAAAACATTTATTGGGGGGGGGGGGGGGATATACATACTGTATTTAGAGTCATTAAACCAAACCCTAACAGTATGACAAATCATTATGACTCAAATGAACCTTAAAAAAGAAATACTAGTAAGAAAATATAATGAATGAATCAGTATAATATAACTTTCAGAATCTGGCACTTAAAGCAACCAATGAACCAGGCAGATTATCATAAGAATCCATTAAAAATGGGGACTTGGTATTCTCACAGAATGACCCAATGGAGAAAGTCTAGATAGGTTTCTAGCCACTAGCAATCTTTCATTCATTATCTCATGTTAGTATCCTCCCTTTACAACTTCTTGTGTGACTAAAGAGGCCAATCGTTAATACACAGCTGCATCACAGATTGAGCATCTGTCATCACAAGGTGCTGTTGCACTTTCACTCTTCTTTCTACTACTGTTGTGTATGGCATCTGTAATCCGAGACACTTCTTTTATGCTCAATCTCTATGTGGATCTATCCAGTGCCACTTTTTCCCCTACTGTTAGTTGAAATGAAAGCAAAGCTGTTGATGAAAGTAAAACATGCTCTTGTTGGCTGGCACTAGAGAGTGCTGATACACTCCAATCAGTTAAGATAATGACCCAGCATCTCCCTTTAAAGGTAATTGTAACTACTTGAACTTTATTCTCATAAATAGAACTCCAATACTGATTATTGTGGAAAATCAAGATGATTTTGAAAAGCTTTTGAAGGTTTATTGCCATTGAGATGCAATGCATTTAGAATACCGATATTGAATTCATCATCATTGGCCTCCTTCAGTCGTAGAACGACTATGGTTCATCTCAGAGCACACTTCCTCGTGTGGCTGTGGATCCCTATTTTGGAGAGACACTCCCGTCCAAAGGTGGCTTTTGCTTCGGTGGTAGAGGAGCTGGCCGTTTTTCGGATTGTACGTTTTTCTTCCTGAGCTGAGACCCATGTACTTTCGCTGTCCATAGCTTTCTTGGTCACTGTCTCTCTCCATCTGGTGCGGTTTAGAGCTATGTCTTCCCAATTGTCAGTATTGATTTTCACTGATTTGAGGTCACGCTTTATTACATCTATGTAACGGAGGTGGGGTCGACCAGTTTTTCTTGTGCCAGTCGCGAGTTGTCCATAGAGGATGACTTTCGGGATGCGCTTGTCCTCCATCCGGCGAACATGTCCAAGCCAACGCAAACGGCGTTGCCTGAGGGCTGTAAAGATGCTGGGAATACATGTTCGCGCAAGGATCTCAGTATTGCACACTTTTTCTTTCTATGTGACATTGTGACTTTCAAGATCCTACGAGACATCTCAAATGGAATGAGTCCAGAATGAATATTAAATTACCCTCATGGATAATGACAGCAAAAGCTCTGCTACTTCTGAGCTGAAGGGGTAACTACATTCAATCCTATTTAATTATGAAAGCAGCAAAAAATGTAATAGTGTTAATAATAAACATACTAACTAGTGCAGAAACCAACAAGTAATTTAGTCCAGATTTAAGGAATTAAACTAGAAAGTCGATAGACAATATAAGTCAAGACAAAGACTTCTTTGTTGATCCTTATGGAAATTTGTGATTACAAGGACTCTTTTCTCATAATAACAACACAACAGAAGCATTCACATAAATAGAACAGACACAACATAAAAGAGTTCATTGAGCGACCACACACAGATATTTTGGTCCTTTTCATGTTTCTTGATTAACGAGTGGCGTTGATATAGTCTGACCGAGTAAGGAATGAACGAGTTTTTGTACCGCTCGGTTCTTCGCGGCGACTTGATGACGTAGTTATGATGGAGGGGTGACTTTGTATTCCAAGATTTTTCTGATACATTTTTGTTCAAAAAGTTCATTTAAATATGGTTGTGTTGTGCTTCTGATTTTAGATGCTTTTTTTTAAAAATGTCTAAGCGGCGCAACAGTTTAGATGAAGCGTTGCCTTGCCAACAAGTTATTCCATGTTAGCAGATTTTGCATAGTCGTGCAGTAAAAATTGTCTAGGATCTTCTTATTTAGTTTAAAGCTATTGAGATAAATCTACTTAAAAAAGGGAAGGCAATACACAGTAATAGATAAAAAAAAGAATAATGGAAGATGCTAACAACCTTTCTCTCCAGCAATTGGATGAGCTGCCTTCTGTTATGTTCTCATAGTGCCTTAGGCCTAACCTTAAATGGTGTTTGTTAGAATGGTTTTCATAACATCTAATTATTAAGATGTCACTTTTGTCCGGGTCCTCTCCAGTATAAATACAAAGGGAAATGATATGGTAGAGTGGCAAAGAGAGCCCTACAGGAAGTAGTGGCAGTATCTTAAATCCCTCACTCCTGGCAGGCTCAATGGGAGTCGGAAACCTGAAAAAAAAACAAACTGAAACATATTGTGGCTAATGCGAGGCAGCGACATGACATGGAAGTACGCCCATGTTCAGACTTAGGATTGGCCACACCCACATTACACACTCCTTTATACCGTACTAAGAAGAGAGTAACTGTAACATCAGTGTCATTGCAGGAAGTGGTAATAGATATAAGCACTCCACTACCTATAAAATGCTTCCTAATGACATGCGTCTCAGATAGCCCATGGCAACCAGTCCAACTTTCGGTCTTCATGTGTGGCCCAGATATTGAGTCTGGCGGAACTGTTTTCACTAACAGGAGAAGGTACGAAGGCGAGTAACTAGGGCCTTAACCAGTATGCTTCGGGCAGGAGGTGCTCGTTAGCCATGGCCGTCTACCCACCTATGAGAAGGAAAACTCGAAATTCAAACCTCTGCTGCCACTACCCAACCACTGGAAAGGCTTCGGGAGTCAACCTGAAGAAAAATCAGGAGCCGGCAATTCTTAAGCAGTTTGCAGCACTCAGCGCTACACCCTGGCAGAGCCTGCGACGCCGCTGGCCCAAAACTATATCAGCACTTGCAGTCCTTTCGATACATCAGCTGCGCAGAGAGGGGGTAACTGATGTGTGGGCGACATCGTTCCGAAGGCATTCATCTCATTTCCATGAGATGATCAATAGTCACTTCGCGACTGAAGGAGGCCATATATAACCTCAGTGTAGAGCACATCCTCCTTGGTTGTCTCATATACCAGGATATTCGAAGGAAATACTTTAACACCTATAACCTAAAAACACTGTTTGACAGGTTAGATCCAGGGAAAGTACTGGGCTTTATCCGGGAAGTGGGAGCAACAGCTAGAATCTGACTTTGGGGAAAAGTTATATTTTCAACAGATTTGTATCTAGAATGTTTATTGTTCAAGCTAAAAATAAGCTAATATTAATAGTGAAATTGTAATTTGACTGTAATTTGTATAGCTTTTAGCAATCCGTTTTTATTAACTGAGTAAAGGAGAAAAAAAACTTGAAAAATTAAAGAGCATGACATGACAAAATGTGCCAAAAAATCAACATTTTTTTCATAGCTTTATAAAAACATATTACAACTTGGAAGCTTGCCCTGGCAAAATATGTAGGTCACAGATGGGGCTGCTATCCACAGAAATTATTGCATTCCTCATTAATCTTCGGACTTAATATTATTATTTTGATTTTTAGGTAACTGACTGATAATAAAAAGGAACATGATAGTGCAAGCTTTCAATATTAGGTCTTTTTTAACAATACTAAAGAGTTGATATAAATTATAGCATTATCTCTTTCATTCTTCTATCCTAATATGTACAAGTGAACAAGAAAGTCAAGTGCATTAGCCATATGTTTATTAATACATAGGACACAACAAACTACCAATTTTGTATGAATACTTGAATACCCACATTTATTGGCTCAAAAATATAACAAATTTTAGTTCGAAAAACAAAAGTACATTTTTCAGATTTCCTAAATTATGTGATATTACTGTCAGAAAAGCATGTCTATTGAAATAAAATGAACATTGCATAAGAAATACTATCAATATGTACAAAGAAACTTATAAATATTTCAGCTGTAGTTAATGTACAGAACATAGTAAGTTAGTATGTACAATTATCAAAACATTCATCCAGTCAAACATCATCTTCTCAACCACTGTCACAACAGCTACATTTACATCCAGTCAAACATCATCTTCTCAAACACTGTCACAACAGCTACATTTACATCCAGTCAAACATCATCTTCTAAACCACTATCACAACAGCTACATTTACATTTTCATTCAGACAAACTTCTTTCATTTTCTCAACATATAATAAGAGATTTATACAATTTATAACAGGGGAAAAAATTGTTAAAATATTTTTTCTTTTAAATTACTTCACTGTAATCACTCATAAATTCATTTTGTTTGCTCAAAAATGAGAGGGTCAGTATTATCTATATAGATGTATTTATTTTTATTTTTTTATTTATGTTGACTCAAATATCAGCACTAATGTATGAATCAGATTGAAGTCTAGAATGGAAGTTCCTTTCATTGTTATTTGTTCCTTTTTTATAATTTGTGTGTGTGTGTGTGTGAAACATGTAAACAATTTAATATACAAATAAAAGAAAACAGAGTCTATGATTGATCAAACACTATCCATCACTCTATCATGATAAAACTGTGAAAGCCCCCAGCTAAAATTCCAACCAAGTATCAGTGAAAGGATGTAAATAAGCAAAACTCCAGTCATCGGGAACAACAGCGTTCTTGTGTTTTTCAAATATGGCAGAGCTGTCAAATAAATATACATAATTTAAGCCATTGAAAAAATAAAATTATTTTTGTTACTTAAAAATATTCATAATACTGGTTTAAAAAAAATATGTATTGTGTTGTCTCAGTGGTAGAATGCTTAACTAGGTCCTGTTAATCTTATGGTGAAGAGTTTGAATCCACATAAAAGTTAGTGTGTCAATAGACAAAGAGAGATGTATTGGGTAGTCAGTCATTGTGCTCATCAAACAATACTAAACCACAAAGAAAAAAAAATTTTCTATGCCTTTTAATATATTTTGAAAGCCAAATTTGTTCTTAGCAGATTTATTCATGTGGGTAATTTTATTAACATCTTTTTTTATCCAATTAGTTTAAATTGTATAAATGTTTAGTAAATAAAACAAGTGGACCAATTATTTTGTACTGCTTCTTATAACTTGCTTAGTGTTTTTTTTTAATACTTTGAAGTTAAATGTTTTTGTGATGAATCTTGGGATAATGTAAAAAATTGGGATTAGTGAAATTTGCTCTTGTTGAGCCTCATCAGAGAATGTCAACCATGTCCTTCACAGCTGCATACTCTAAAAACAGCAAGACCCTGGCCCCAAAACATTCCCATAGAACTATATGTAGAGCTGCCTGATCTGGAAACTACTACACAGTTAATCTTAGATATGGGTTGGCACCAAGACCAATTGTTATAGAAGGCCTAAACACTTGACCCTAACCACAGGTCTGTATGACATGGCAACGAGCTTTTGGTCTAAACTGCCAACAGGTTGTGATGTTGTAGGTCAGAAATGAAGCCTTCTATAATGAATAGTCTCTCACCTGAACCCTTCCACATAATAATAATAATGAAGGAGACCACAATAAAAATGTTTTTACCAGAAATCAATTCAACTTTTTGCTTTCAAGTAGATTGAAGGTATGAAGACTTGCATAACATTTAATTCTAAGAAATATTGGACAATTTTGTTACAGTAATAATACTCTAATAACCTGATATTTGTAGGGATGACAAATGGTGGATAGTCACCTGAGTTGGCTACTGAAACAGTGGGAACTTGGACTTTATGCTTTAAAGGTAGTTGATATAGTTAGGGAGAAAAACACAACCTACCACTATAGCCCAAAAATGTGATGTAGATATAATAACCAATGGCCAGCAACCATAATGTGTTGCCAAAAAATCTTGACAGAAACATTTCTTTGTTGATAAAAACTAAAAGAAAGTAAAAAAAAAATGTACAGGGCTATTTTAGCATAGTTACATCAATAGGATAACTATGTCAATTATGTTATAGCAATATATAGGAGTTAAATGCATCTAATTAAAAAGAACAAAAAAAATCTTTAACCAGTTTTGACCAAAAAAAAAAAATTAATTTAAAAAAAAAAAAGAACTTACAAGTTAGAAATGGTAGCTGGAAAAAATGTAAGATCATAAGCAGGGGAAAGAAAGCGTTGAGGTGCACATCAAAAGCATAACCCCACTCCACATCTTGGCCTCTAGGTGGATTGATCAACATGTAGCGATTACTTATGAACCTAAAGTAAATCACAAATTTTATGCAAAGATTATAACAATGTTTTAATTACAAAACAAAGAGCATCCCTTTCAGACTTTAGGGTTTATGGATGCAGATAAAGCTCATCTTATCTATGGCCAATGGTTAACAAGGGTGTCATGTGACCAACATGATGACCAACCGCCTTTACTTCCCCACAGTAAATCCAAAATCAAATATTATATCAGGATTCGTAAGTCAAGACCCCTTGGTGGGGAAGTCAAGAGCCACTCTACCAACAGGCCTTTCAATTACAAAACAAATTATAGCAGTAAAAATTCAAAATATTATATACTACACTATTTTTATTTCTGTTTATATCTAGTTATAAACACCACAATCCTGAGGTTACAGGCACACAAGTATTTTCCCATTGAAATTAAAAAGCCTGCATGCATTGTGATGGCAATATTGCATGAATGTAAACAATTTTCACTGAGCCTTCAGGTCCAACAGACTAGTGGGAAACTTCTGTAATCAAGTGCTGTCTGTGAATTTTCATTTTGGCTTCTTCTATAAGCATTACATAAAAATTTATAATTCTGTTTAATCATAAAAACCCTTGAATAATGAGAAAATTATTTTTTTTGTCACAAACAGAGTTAAATAATTATGTTAAAATGTACAATAGAAAATGTATTAAAAAAGAGACTGACCAGAAGAGAGTAGCTATCAACAGACCAACTCCAATACAATCCACAAATATCACCCACAATAGAAATTTGATAAATCCAAGAATGCCAAGATTTAAAGCTAATGTGAAACCAATGGAAGAGGCTGAGGGGGAAAAAAAAGATATTAATTATTTTTTTTAATCTCAGAGAATGAAGTAAAAGTACAATTTATATGAAACTGATAAACACTCTATTATTGCTTCAGCTTTTTGGTCATGTTTATTTCTTCCAAATATTATATTTTTGGTCTTTCACTCAAATTAAATTCTCAAGACAGTAATGTGAGATTTTAGGGATTGTACTTTCAATTCAAATTACTTCTAGCTTTGCTACCATAACATTGAAAAAAAAAAAGACTTATGACATAATGCTTTCACATGGTCTTGAGTGGAAAAAAAATTCTATTCTATATGTATTCCCTAGATACTAGGGTGGTAGGTACTAAATAATGGACACTATCTATTTTCAAAGGAAAATAGTTCACTAAATTTATATTACCAGTACTAGTTTGGCTTTATAAACATGTGATTTCCTTAATGTTATTCTATTGATTGTCATTAGATTTATTAGATAAAGTGTTTAGAAATTTCATTTATTCTGTGCTTTATTCATTCTGACTTGCTTTCTGTTTAGGAGAGAACAAAAGGATCCACTGTAACTATTTTATTACCATAGAAAATATACTCAATCAATGTAAAACACAACTTGACATACATGCAGGACTAAATTAACTTTTAAAACATGCTTCAATATAAATATGTCCAAAAGAAAGGTAATTGCTTATTATAAGCTAAGGAAAGCTACAGAAAACCCTAGTTTTGAAGTCTGTGACACAAAAATACTTAAATTTTAGCAGTCTAAAACTGTCCATTTTACATCTTTTATTGTGATGTTGATCAAGATGAAATTTTTGTTATTTGGACATAGCCCTGTTTAGTTTGTTGGACATAGCCCTATTTAGTTACTTGGACATCACATCTGTCATGAGAGAATTTAAACTGGGAAATTGGCTTATTAAGAACCTAAAGATTTGATGTACATATTGATAATACTAATAAAATTTATATTTATTAGTATTTTCTGCTTGCACAAAATACTAAGGATTAATGTTAATTAACAAATTGATTACCACAAAGCCAAAATGTAAGTAAAACAAGAAATGCTGGATCATCTCTGGCCCACTGATCCTTTGTTTCTGAGGATTTGCAAGAAATTTTATTTGAATGAAATATATTTAAACAAAAAATAGTTTTAGAAAACTTTGATACATAATTAGTTTGTGATCTAAAATATTTTACAGAAAATAAGTCTGTTTAGATGTCCCCATGCTTTTGGAACAAGAGCTAACTCTGAAGAGTGAAAAGAAAATGTTTTAATGATATGGGTACTTACGTTTTCTGTATTGAAAGTTTCTGTAACTGTAAATATAAAAAAAATATCTTAGGTATTTTGGACAAAAGATAAGGAATAATAATTAATAGACAGCAAAATTGAAAATTTAAACTTGGTTGTTATCATTTGTTTTGCCTTATAATTCTAGTTGAATCACTAATAAAATGGTAACATCGTATATAATTTGAAATGAATAAAATTCATATCTTAAAAATATTTATTTCAGACTCTTATCAGTGATATCATTAAAAAAAATTCTTGTGGCAATTGCCCATATCCAAACAAAAAATCAAGCTAAGATTTTCTTGTTTATAGAAGAAAGAGTACAGAGCTCAATGGACTAGACTTGTACGTTTGTGAAGTTCCATCAGAAATGAAGCTTATTACATCACCCAAACCTCCTTGACGAGGCCAGTGGGTGATGGCAGGCAAGATTTGAACCCAGGATTATCAAGACAAAAGTTTTAAGGGCATAACACACAACAAGACAGATTAGAAAAGAGAGGTGAAATCACTTTGAACTTTGTGTGCTTATTGAACAAATCTAGAAAACTAATGAAGAAACACAGCTTCAATTCTACAGTCGTACTTTCCAGTTTTCTGGTAAAGACACAGACATTCTTTTTGTAGCGAGAAAGTAAACTTGTGAGTCAAATTTGGACTCAACTAGTAAGTGGTATAAGCCTATAAAAACAAAAAGTAAGTGACTTAAATTAGTGCCTTGATTATGAGATTTATAAGGT